TTTAAACCAGAAGAAAACATATTATGAGAATATATAACCCTCATAGTTGGTCATGATGCGCCATTGTATAAAATAAAATGAGGGCAAAATAATACTATCAAAGAAGTGGTTTGTGTGACACGATGTCCGACCTTGTTAGAAATTAAATGTGTCTTTTGTTGTTCTCAATGGTCCCATTCAAATTATTGGAAAAGCAGCTGCTACAGTGAGAGGAGAGACACAGAAGTGTGTATTTATAACATGAGGTAATAGATTTACAGAGAAGACACTCAGACATTTGTAGTGTGTTCATTGTGCACGAAAAGCAATGAACAAAAAACTACATTTCTTTGATAGTTGGCCCTCATTTTAACTTATCCAATGAAGCATCATGACCAACTATTAGGGTGCACTCACAATACTTTTCTTGTGGTTTAGACAAATCATCGAAACAAATCATCTGACTGTCTTACTGGTGTTGTAGAGATGTTACCATGTTCTCAAGAAAATGTCTCCCTAACCCTAACTCCCATCAGGTGTTAGGACAGTGTACACTGGCCCTTTTGGCTCAATGGCCAACTTTTGTTTTGGCTTAACGGAAATAAAGTGTATTAACATTCTGATGCTTAGCAGGTATAATGTGCAGCATGTTCATTATCTCACTTTGGTGCATCAGCATGCAAATATTTGCAGTATTGCTGAGGCTGATGGGAATGTTGTTATTTTTGCATGATTTTTCAGTATTTGACAAATTCAATTTGACCGGCAGATAGTCCTACAGGAAATGTTAGGGAATCACCAAATCTGCTATGATTTATCCTGAACTTGAATGTCTGAACCGAAATCTTGGAAATCATAAAACTCTGTATGGGATTCATCCTCTGGGCACTGACCAGCTGACAACCATTCAAAGAGCGACGATGCTAGCTGGGCAAAAGAAAATGTGTGCATGTACAACAACTGCAAGTACAGTATATGAACCTGTAAGTTGAAAAATCCAGAGGACGTTGACAGCAGATGCCCTGGCTGACATTTTGAATGATTGTTTGAGTTTATTTTCCAGATAAGCAGCGTAAAACTGAGGCATGTCAGCACATTCTTTATGGTCTGTTGTGAAATCACTGTGCCCTCAGATCTAAGGGTGCTTATCACACCTGGTAGGAGTGACAGCCAAAGCTGCAAAAATAAGATTTGTAAAAAACATGGAGATATTTTTGTCACAAATGTAACAAACTGTGTGTCTGTGTTTCTGCAGTACAGTAACTCTTTTCTCATGCAGCCCTAAGTATAATCTCCAGCACTGGCTCGCTGAATAAATACATCTGTGTTTCTCATTTCTGGAATCGGAGTTGCATCCAGTGCCTCGGACTGTTCCAGTGTTCAGTCACACTGACGGATCACGTCTCCCAGTTTCTGCGTTTATCCCCCTCAGCTAGTGAATGATGCATTTTGCGAGTTACACACAGGAAATCTGGTGCTCGTATTACACAGATTTATACATCAGAAGACGAGCTTTATCTGAAATGTCTTAAAGAGCGCAGACACGCTAAATGAGTCTCCTTTTTCAATGAACACGAATTCTATGAAAGAAATGTGAGATTGTAATTTAGCTTGGCTCTTTTACACACATACATTCACTCTTCCCATTTTTATCTAAAGACTCTGGCAGATGGAGGTGCCTTTGTCTCGCCAGAAGTTTTCCAACCTTGAAAAAGCCACCCCTCCTCAGTTTAATGAAGGCAAGCCACAACAGCGGTGTAGTAATGACTGGATTGTGTACAACATTATCCCTCCCCCTCCTGGACAGAGCCTTTGTATTCACCGCAGGCTGAGCTTCTCCCACCACAGAGCAAGGGAGGGGAGAGAAAACAAGCGCGCCTTTCCAATGCTAACTCAATAATGACTTCCCACGGGGGAAAGAGAATACAGGGCAGTCTTTGAAGTGGCTGTGCTGCAGGAGGCTCCTCTGCCCCAGTCTCGCTACAGCAAGTTCTCACATGGATTTTATAGAGCCTGGGACCGAAGCAGTCTCCATACAGCCTGTAGACACTCATCCTGATCAGTTGAGGTTACATTAATGTCTTCATATCCTGTAGTCAGTGTTTGAAAAAAACTGTTTGTCATCGTTAAAGTTGGGCAGAACTTGTGAATCTTAGTTTTATTGACATTCACACACTGAAGCCACAAATTACTTGGATCTGATTGCCCAAAGAATGCAGTGGTTTCGGTCGCAAGTCTCCTCTTCAGACAACTTCTGTGTTGACACATGAGCTGAGTGTGTGGAGATTAAACATTTCTCATGAGACAAGGAGCTCAGATTCATTTGTTTAATCTGAAAATTCAGTTTCTCTTCAGTTCACCTCTGTGGGTTAGACATGATTCAACAGCCATTGACAATTTGGGGCAGATATTCATGGTGCCCAGAGGACGAATCAATGACTTTGTTGAAATTGTTGGTGATGTCTGACTTTTGATGTAGTGCCTCCACGAGGCTGGCATTGACATTTTGTATTCACGCTCCATTAGGATGAATAGTTTTAACAGCTGGTGAATATATATATATACTTTAAAATAAAAATATATCAGACAACATTCATTAGTTGGATCAATTCATCAATGTTTTTGGTTCTGACGTGTGATTTGTTGTATTTTTCAATTCAATTTTATTTGTGTAGCGTCAAATCATAATATAATTTATCTCAAGGCACTTTATTTTCATAAGTGGACATGTCTTATGTCTTTTTTGACATATTTTAGGTTTTATTTGATAACATTTACAGATTGCTTGGCTTTAGTGTTCTACATTTCACTCACAGCTCTATGATTGATACCACAGGGGGAGATCTTTCTTCAAAAAATCCATTTCTTGGTTCTGTTTGAGCTGGCAAGTTGCCCAAGCGTCTTAGCATGATGGACTTCAGTGGATTTCAGCTACCGTTTTCAAATTCTGCCACAACGTGACAGAGAAAAACAGAACATTTTTGGATGAAGGTGAATGTCAGAAAGGAGAGTCTCCCCCTCCCCTCCCTCCTGCCATTCCCTCTTCATTCTTTTCTGTTCCTCAGTGTGCAGAGACAAACGTGTAAGACGATACATCACAACTATGAGATCTGTTTACACAGTCCCTCCTGAGGTCTTAAATGAATACACAGCCTCTCCATGCTGCTTCCATAAACACTTATGGCTCCGGAATAGGGAGCTCATTAGGACTGCACGGTAATGAGGAGCCATCCTGGTGCTCAGCAGTGGGTTAATTGGGCCAGAGAGGGCAACAGGAGCCGAGTGTGAAAATGTGAATGGCAGCGGAAGAGTAGCCTCTCCACACGTACACACACCCCCCTCTTCACATTAACACACACACACAAGTTTCGCTCACACATTTTATCCCACTCTGAATGGACATAGTCTGAATCGCAGTGACCCACAGAGGTCAGCTCGTAATCACCATGGCAATGGGGGCGGCACACAAGCCCGGACCGCGCTGAGGGACGAATAGCCACCACTTAAGTTTTTGGCAGCATGGCGGGCATTCCCAGCGTGAATAATGTGCAGACAGGGGCCTCCCAACAATCTGATGGCTTTACACAAATGGGGCCTTGTGGGAGGACATTCATCAGCAATAAAACACCTCTCTCTTCAAGGAGTCTGTTGTGTCGTCTGTGGTGACACAGCTCCGAACCTGAGGCTGGCCGACAGGAACATTGTTTAATGTACTGCTTTATGAGGGCTTTCTCTTAATCTTAATCTTTAGAGACGTTCGGCTGTGAGACTGCAGTTTGGAGCCTTTCTCTCTCCAGACGTTTATCGACTGTATTGTAGTCAGACTCTTTGACCGTTCAGGGTTACCCTGCTTCTTTTCCCTGTGTTAGTTCAGTTAGTTCCCAGTGCTGCCTGATTGTTAAGTAAAACAAATTTTAAGCTCTGTTTTCTTCTCTCAGGCTCAAAATATTCTCAGGCTTCGTTGGCTGCTCTTGAAATGATTTCAAAAGTTTTAAGAGCATCTGTTTTCACACATGCACTTTGACGAATGTCTGTTCAATGCAGCGTTTGCCTTTCACACATGAACAACGTAGCAGGAGATTCTTTGCTCAGACGTGTTCACAACAACACAGAAATGTCTGGAGCATTCAGCTGAGGGGTGGCGCAGCGTGTAGAGGCAGGACGTACTGTGTCCTCTACGTGTGTGGCTCCGCCTCTTCATCCCGAAACATTTGTATTCTTTTCGTTTTTTTCTGTCACGTTTTAGAAACGTCATCGACACACCCACTAGCTGGCGGTGAAGCCTCCTGTATTCTCACACATTCATTCTCATTGGCTCACTTTGACATTATCTGAAGTTTTTAATAAGGGTGCTAAACTCCAGAGAAAGTCTGGAGCTTCTCACTTGGTCATTTGTATGCAGCCCCTCCGGAGAATGTCAAGAGATTATCTGGACTTCAGTGCCTGTGTGAAAGCTCTTGCCTAGAATACAATGTGCCTCTGCTCAGTTTCATCCTCCTCAAGTATAATCTGGTTGTTATCAATCACTGTTACACCTCCTCTTGCACTGTGCTGCAGCCTCTCACTGTTGGCATAGACTCTCAGGATGCAGAGGCGAAAGTGTGCGTGGGGGGAGGAGGAGTGCGCCTCTCTCTGTAATCCCTCTCAGTCTCTTATCACCTCTTACAGGGAGAGCAGCAGTGGGGGAGGAGAAGAGCGCTGTGTATCAGCAGCACTCCTCTCCTCTACATTATTAAACATCCCTATTTCCATATTTCATTGAGCCCCCCGCGCCTCAGCAAATCGCGGACTACTTAGCATTCAGATGAGAATGGGATTTGTTTAATGGGTATTAGATTTGTAGATGGTTATCCTGTGGCTATGTCTTCACCACACAGAGCCAGTCGATCAGTCGTAGTGCCACTAATGAAGTCGTACTTAGATGGTTCTTTTGTTTCACTCTGCGTACTCACTTATCAGTTTAATTAAGAAAACTGACTTTTTCATTTGCTAACCCCATTTCTCCCTCCTTACTCTCACAGGTCTAAGAAGGTGGCAGCCTTTTCTGCAATGTTACAAAAAGCCTCTCTGCGGAAAAAAGACTTGGAGCTGGAGCTGGAGGAGCTGGAGGAAGCAGCAGCGATGGTGGCGGAGGACGAAGAAGAAGAAAACGAAGCTGAAGAGCAGGGAGCTCCCAAGGGCGCTCCGACATCCCGCGGTGACAGCAGCGGCGCTTCCAGTGACAGCAGCAGCAGTGGCTCATCTGATGAGAGCGAGGAATCTGAGGCTGAAGGGCAGGGATGCACCGACTCCAGCAGGAGGGGAGGAGGTGGAGGAGGAGAGACGTCTAAGGACAACCCTCCCCTGCCCCAACCCACCTCCGCTGCCTCTCCCATCCCCCAGGAGCCGACGAGCACACTCCTCTCGGCGGAGAGAAAAGTGGACGCCCTCCCCGCAGCTTCAGAAAGCACCAGACAGCTGATCGAGGAGCTGGGGGAGCGGGTGGCAGAGGAGCTGAACGTCTCTCAAGGCTCCAGCTGCAAAGCGGAGAGAAGCCGTTCACAGCTGAGCAGCACTGAAGCAAAGACTGAAGCAACATCTGTGAGGAGCAGCGGTGGGACTGTGTTAGAGCTGAGTCCTCGTAGAAACCCTCTGCTCATTGTCCAAACACAGGACCATCCCGATGACAGTGGCTTCATCAGCTAAGAGGAACTGATGTGGAACTTGAAAGACTCTTATTAAACTGAAATGAACTGTTAACTCCATTCAAGTGTAAGAAAACCTGTTGGACCATTTTTCTCCTAATATTTTTCTTTCTACTTCTGGAATTTTTCCAAGCTTCTGCTTTGTGCAGCTGGGATTTTATTCTTTAACATTTTTCTAAAGGACTTTATTTACTGTCTTGAATTATATTATCTTAAAAGATGAACTCAAAGCCTCATTAAAATCCTTATTACCTATTCATATGGTTTTTTCCCTCCTTATTTCATTGAGGAACACTAACCTCCTTATTCTGTCTAGTCTAGTCTTATCTTGACTGTTTTTGTCTTTGCTGCTCTCTTAATAAATGAATTAATAATCTATGCTCCATGACTAGACTTGATCCCTCAGCTATATTTGATTTTGTATGAATAACTTGAGTTCCTTTTTTGAGTGTAAAACTTCACAACTCCCCATGTATATTCCCATGCTCATATTAACATATTTATCCTGTATATTCATGTCTGGCTCTCATAAACGCAGCAGGAATGTCATTCCAGGAAGCTGACAAATGTTCATCACTCAGCAGAGATGCCTGGCAGAGCTACTTTGAGGGAGCTATGCTTTTCCTAATAAATAGTAGGAAATACGCTAACACCTTTTCTAAAGCCCCAGCATTGATTGAAGTGGAAAAGACTCTGTCGGCACTAAACGGGGCCGTGGAGCACGCGGGAGTGATTGATTCGTCTGGCATGAATGGAGGAGCGCCGTCAACGCAGCTCAATATCATCAGGCGCGTCTAGCAGGCGAGAGAAAACAAACAAGGAAGCACATGTCAGGCAGATAGATGAGGGCTGCGAGCGGTGCTGCGGCACAGCAGCCGTTTGTGTGAGAGATAAGTGCACCATGGGGCCCGAGGCAGCGGCGAGATAGAGGAGCAGAGGGGCAGCAGAGAGAGGAAAACGGTGTCAGCAGCACCTCTGGGCAAAGAGGTGAATTTGAACTTCTCCTGAGTCGACTTGTGACGATTATCATAAGTGAATGATGGAGAAGAAATACAGAAATGACCCAAATTAGCAGAGTTTCTCAGGTTGTGTGATCATCTGGGTCATAAGTAGTTGAGGGAGTGACTGATCAAGCACAGCCAAAGTTTTGCCTCAGGCTCTTCCATCCTCCGCTGAATGGAGGCAGCTGAGGAGACGGAGGGGATGATGGCTGCTTAGATGGGCAGTGTCGGCAGTATTGTGTTACCGAGATGGATGGTGTTGTGGGGCACCTCCCAAGAAGAGACAAGCCCCTCTTGGGAGCGAGCATCACCATCGCAGTGAGGGAGATGAGTTACGCCGTGAGACTCAGCCCATTTAACCCCCCCCCTCCTCGCTCATTCTGGGGACACGTGTGTAGGGGACTGTGCATCCCCCAGCAGGCGGTTGTTCCCTCTCCCCACTGGGGTTTCACAGTGATTAAGTGACACTGGGCTCTGTTCCCGTTTTTCATCTTAAAGTTGCCTCCATATTCCGCCGTTAGCACTGCCGTCTCTGAGTCTGACCGAAGGCCCAGCACTTCTCCTGGTTCCTCTGCAATTAATACTCTTCACCAGCTGACATTTTTCAAGGGACTGGGCCACGTTTTAATGAAGGTAGCTGATGAATTATACAAGGCAGTAATTAATGTGATGTCTGTGTTCTATTTTGACTTGGATCTGATAAATCAGCCCCTTATTCATGTGCAGAGCGCCCTCTGACCCCCAAGGGGCTAAGAAACGGGAGTAATGTGCTCAGGTGCTCTTGTAGGCCATCTTGGAAATTAGCCCATTAGCAGCAGTACATGTGCAATCATGAAGGTAGGTTCTACCACGCCCCTTGATGGATTAGCTTTTTACCAACCCATCTGCAGGGTTTCCCATTTAATACCTGGACAGCGGAAGAGTGTCGTCATGAACAAATGGTTTCTAGACATCTAATGATAATGTCATCACTGGACTGACCAGTGGGAGGACCACACACGTCCACATGGCTGGGCCAGCAAAATTCCATATTTGTAAATAGTTTTCCTCTTAATAATTCACCATTTTGCTGTATTTGCTTTATTGCCAAGGTTAGATGAGAGGATTGAGACCACACTCAGTACAAAGCTACAGCCAGTAGCCAGTGCAAAGAAGGGAATATGAACAGCTTGATTCCTGCCAAATGTAAAACCTCAAAAACTAATTGGAGTCACTGCACCCGACTGAGAATATTTAATGTTTTAAGTGATGAGCTTTTGTGGTACTGGGAAATAGATTTGTTATTAACTATTGGACAGAGTCAGGCTAACTGTTCCCCAAGCTTCCAGGCTTCATATTCATGGGACAGATCAGAGTGGTATTGATCTTCTCACCTAACTCTCAGAGAGATGGAGCTTTCTGAAGCTCTTTTCAAATTGTGTTCAGACATTTTGAACAGCACAGCAGGACAGTGCAGGGACATTTCCAGTATCATTCAGAGATATTTGTATGTTTATAACTATACATTTTGTAATAGATAATAATTCATATTTTTCTATACGTTTCATGTGGGCTATTCCAGAGGTCTGTAGGCATTGGCACAATCCTCAGACAAATGTTCACAACTTAAATATTAGATAAAATTCAGCCCGATGTGAACCGTTGGGTGAGGTAAGAAGAGGTGAAGGGAAATCAAAAAGGGTGAGGATTCAGGACATTCCTTTCTTTTGGTAACAATTTGTCTCTTGGTTCAGGAGTTTTTCCTCATCCTCCACCGTCTCCACACTATCCAGATCGTTCAGGTAGGCGAGGGAGGATTTGGTGGGAGGTCGTCTTTTCCTGGTTTCTCTCTTTAGCAGCTCCTCCTCCTGTCGGACCTCCCTCTCAAGTTTTATCTGTTCACTTGTCAGATTGAGTCTTAAGTCCACATTTTATGAATGAAAGTTTTCTGCTTCAGCTCCATACTCCACTCACAAGTCAAATGAAACCACAGACAAAGTAACACACAGCATTCAGAGCAAAAAGAAATAAAGAAAACATGATCGTCAGATTGAGACCAATCTCAGCAACAGGACGATCTACACTTCCTGTTCCATTATGTATCCATTCAGAGTTCCATTTAGTTTTGGTTTATTCAATGTAGAACATATTTTCAGTTCCTTTGTACAGTTTTTCTATTTTTGCCCAGATTCAACTGGGTCTGCCATCTAACAGTTAGCATGCTGCCCCCCCTCTCCCTCACACACACACACACTGACGGTTATAGTGAGCTGGTCGCCTGTTTATTGACTTTTCTATTAACATATATTGAACGTCTTGTGTGTCCAAATTGCACTGCGCTTCTAATGAGCACTAAGAATTCACATGCCACGTGTGGAGTCGATCAGATGATCAGTTTGAGAGATATGTGTTCCACATTCAGAGCAACATTCAGACAGACGTCTGTGGAATTAGTTTGTAGATTTGTCCAGAACCTGCTCCCGACCTTCACATCCTGAGAGCTCACTTTCTCTTCCACCTTGTGAACGTGTTCATTCCAGAGCACAAGTGCACGTCATACTCAGAGGAAGCACAGGGTAATCCAGGATTCTCTTCTGCACACCGAACATAAGTACACATGCTTAAGTAAGAACAATGAGAAGCTTTCGACTAAAAATGCCACCTGTTATATGTATAGAGGAGTTTGACCATAAGACCTAACACTTGGACTCATTTGAAATCATTCAGGTTGGGTGTCTGTGAAGATGAAGTGAACCACTTGGCTCTTTCATATGAACTGTGACCTTGCTCGCCTCACTGTGAATAGAAATTTCAGAATTATCTCACTAATGTGATAATGTCCCCTCCTTTGTTTTTGTTTTCAATGAGAAAGGCAGCAGCAAGGACAGAGTCCTCCTCTCCCAGCAGCACGCTGCCTCTGCTTGATTGTGAAAGAAAACTCAATCTCCTCTCCCGTTCCTGAGAGGCAAAGTGATTCTGGTGCTTGAAAAGATTAATAGCCCTCAAGAAGAAATGAATCAGGTGCTCTCCAAGGCCTGACTCGTCCAATGGGTGCGCAAATAGAAATCCCTTTGTGCGCACTCTTTCTCGCGCAGCTGTGTCGCGGCTCGGCTCTGTCTCCCTTTTTGTGGCCTTCGTACTGTGTCATGTCGCTCCAGGCTTGGCTGGCGCACAGACGAGGAGCGGCGCTCCACCGCTCACGACAGGGAAGCAGGTGGCCGTTCCCTTCAGCTCATTCTTCGGGGCTTTGTAGTCGGCCCTCTTGAAATGTCGTATGATAATGTGGGAATGAGTGCATGGGATGTGTCAGTGTCTCTCAGGCTGACAGTGCTGACAGGGGGGGGGTTATCTAAATGGGCTATTTTCATGCTCTTAATCACAAAAGAAATGGTGAAATATCCCTTTTTCTGCAGTGTGTGGGAGCTCGGGTGTGTGTGGGAGCTTGGGTGTGTGTGGGAGCTTGGGTGTGTGTGGCGCTGCGTCGTCTGTGCCGACATCCACTTGTCGTCAGTAGCGTTGACTGGCTGATTCACTCTAATTGGTGTGAGCAATGTCCGTTAAATCACTCCTTAACTCTCAGTTGACATGTGCTATCAGGCAGCTTAATGCTGCAAATTGCCTCTGCCATGCTAGAGCTGTGCGTGTGTGTGTGTGTATGTGTGATAGAGAGCTGAGCATCGTTATACCACCTTGTAAAGAGCGTTGGGGTTACAGGGATGTAATGATAGAATAATCATCTGAAAGAGCAGTCACACACAAGACTCGACTTCTCGAGACTCTGACCTGCTGATATCTGACTGAACATTACAAACTACAATATACACTCTTCCATTCAGGCTACAACCACACTACTACGTTTTCGTTTGAAAACACATCAACTCTGGAAACGCTGCTGGCCTTGAACTCCAGTGGAGCAATTTAGTCAGAAACTGCGAATTTGGAAATGATGACGTAAGTGGTGGGTGATTGAGTCTTTTCTGTCTAACAGGATGTAGACTTTGTGCAATACAACGCTGCTCTTGGGAACATGACAGCTGACATGAAGTACGCCTCGTCAGAATTTCACACTGCTTACCAACAGCACATTTCTAATGAGCTGTTGGTTAGCAGTGTGAAACAACAGCACATTTCTAATGAGGCTGCTTCCACACTCTTGGTGTCGTGAGCCTGTTCTTCTTTTGCACACACAACAGTTGTGTCTTATCTGAGCCAGTCCACGTTCAAGTGAATGTCTCCACGCTTTCCCAAAAAGCACCAGTCTCATGTTTGTTTTCGTAGCTAAAACAGCTGTCAAACACGATTAATATTTCAGTGCAGACTGTGCCGGAGGGAACCTGTAAGTGCTGAGGGAGTTGGAAACAACAAACCAACACTGTTGCTTTCTGCCGTTCTCCCTCCTCGTCTGCTGTACACACATACACATATATATATATATATATATATATGCTCGGCTTTCATGGAGTTTAGCAGCTCCTTTATGACTCCTGGTACACAGC